TACATACCATCAAATTTTCCTCCAGAAAAACTATCCATTTGTAGTCCCATCAGCAACATGTGAACATGACTATTTCTTTACAGTCTTGCCAACATGTGTTGCCAAATTCTTAAGTTTTTTCCATTCTGATCAATGAAAAATGTTGAGTGGTTTTAATTTGCATTTATCTAATTGGGCTTCCCTCATAGCTCATTTGGTAAAGAATCCGTGTGTGATGCAGGAAACCCCGGTCTGATTCCTGAGTCGGGAAGATCCACTGGAGAAGGGATAGGCTACCCACTCCAGTATTGTTGGGCTTCCCTAGTGGCTCAGCTGGTAAAGAATCCGCCTGCAATGTGGGAGACCTGGGTTCAATCCCTGGGTTGGAAAGATCCCCTGCAGAAGGGAAAGGCTACCCACTCCAGTATTCTGGCCTGGAGAATTCCATGGACTGCATAGTCCATGGAGTCGCAAAGAGCCAGACACGACTGAGCAACTTTCACTTTCACTTCACCAATCTCAAATGAATTTGAATATTTTTCGTTTGAAGATTGTATCTTTCATCACGAATTATCTGTTCATATATTTTGCCCATTCCCATTCTGCTTTTGGTTTTTTACTCTCATTACCTATACTTTTGGGGCTTCCCAGGTGGTGCAAAAGTAACAAATCTGCCTACCAATGTAGTAGCTGCAAGAGAAGCAAATTCAATCCCTGAGTCTGGAAGATCCCCTTGAGTAGGAAATGCCAACCTATTCCAGTATTCTTGCCTGGAAAATTCCATGGACAGAGGAGCTTGGCAGATCCACTCCACAGGGTCACAAAGAGTTGGACATGACTGAGCATGCACACACTTATACTTTTAGCAAAATTACTTGGCTATGGTGCTAAGTAAAGGTTGTAGGAGGACACTGGTGGAAGCAGGACACGGTTGTTTCAATAATCCAAATGACAGATGATGCAAGGTTGTCACCATACAGGTGGTAAACAATGGTCAGATTCCATGTAAATGAAGACAATTTCCTAACAGACTAGGGTAAGAGAAAAAGAAAAATCAAAGTGTACTCCAAGATCGACTTTGGTGTACTTAGACCCTCAGTCATGTCCGACTCTTTGCGATCCCATAGACTACAGCCCTCCAGGGACGTCAGTCCATGGGATTCTGCAGGCAAGAATACTGGAGTGTGTTGCCATGCCCTCCTCCAGGGGATCTTCCCAACTCAGGGGTCAAACCCAGGTCTCTGCATTGCAGGTGGATTCTTTACTATCTGAGCCACCAAGGAAGCCCAAGAACACTGGAGTGGGTAGCCTATCCCTTCTCCAGAGAAGCTTAGACTAGAGTATAAGAAAAAGAAAACTCAAGATGTACTCCAAGTGTGTACACTTGAACAAGTGGAAGCCTGGATTTGTCATTAACTGAGATAGAAATCTTAGTTGAGGAAACTTGTGGGTGTGGATTGGAACTTCAGTTTGGTCTATGTTAATTTTGAGATGCCCACTGGACTTCTAAATAGAAATATCAAGAAGGTGGTTGGATACACAATGTTGAAGTTCAGAGAAAAGTTCCTGTATATAGATGGTATTTCAATTCATGAGAACTAGATGAGACTATCATAAGTGAATATAGGTGTAAAATCAAAGACAGACCAGGACTGAGCTGTATTAAGAGATCATGGAGGAGGGAAAAAATAATGAGACTAAGAATGAGCAACCAATAAGGTAGTAAGAAATCAAGAATATGTCTTGGTAGCAAGAGTGAAGAACAAATTTCAGTGCTGTTGTTCAGTCACTCAGTTGTGCCCGACTGGATGGAGAAATGAGAAATTGACTAGAAACAGGAACATGGAAACTCTCTGGAGCAACAGAAACACATCTTGCTCGGTATAGGTGTGTGTATCAGTTCAGTTGCTCAGTCGTGTCTCTTTGTGACCCCATGGACTGCAGCACTCCAGGCTTCCCTGTCCATCACCAACTCCCAGAGCTTGCTCAAACTCATGTCTATCGAGTTGGTGATGCCATCCAACCATCTCATCCTCTGTCGTCCCCTTCTCCTCCCACCTTCAATCTTTCCCAGCATCAGGGTCTTTTCAAATGAGTCAGTTCTTTGCATCAGGTGGCCAAAAGTATTGGAGCTTCAGCTTGAGCACCAGTCCTTCCAAAGTATATTCAGGACTGATTTCCTTTAGTATGGACTGGTTTGATCTCCATGCAGTCCAAGGAACTCTCAAGAGTCTTCGCCAACATCACAGTTCAAAAGCATCAATTCTCTTGTGCTCAGCTTTCTTTACTGTCCAGCTCTCACACCATACATGACTACTGGAAAAACCACAGCTTTGACTAGACGGACCTTTGTGGGCAAAGTAATGTCTCTGCTTTTTAATATGCTGTCTAGGTTGGTCATAGCTTTTCTTCCAAGGAGCAAGATTCTTTTAATTTCATGGCTGCAGTCACCATCTGCAGTGATTTTGGGGCCCAAGAAAATAGTATCAAAATTCAATGACAGACTTAAAAAAACTGTCAAGTGCTGCTGACAGGTCAAGTAAGATAAAGACTAAGCACTGACCATTAGACTTAGCAATATGGTGATATTTGAAGACCTTGAGAAAAATAGCTTTAATGGAGTGATAAATATAAAACCCTAATTTGAGTGAATTTCAGAATGAGAAATAAGAGTTTGAGACCATCAGTATAAATAAATTTTGAGAATTTTGCTCTAAAGAATTCAAGCTACATTTCCATATTATGGAATTTATTATCAGAAGAAATGGGTGCTCGATAATTCCATAAGCAGCAAAACCTTAATAATAAAAGCAGAAAACATCAAAAGGAGGAGGTAAAGTAAGAAAATGAAATGAAATGAAAATGGATGCAGTATGTCTATTAGGATGATTTTAGATGATTTTATTTAACAAATACTGATACATCGCTGTCAGGCACTATCCAAGGATTTATAAATACAATTCATTCAAGAAGGTTCTGATTCTCAAAATTCATTTGAGACTGCCCTTTTCCCCATCTTTAATTGTACTAAGACATGAGCGCACAATTTCACCTTCTTCTCTGTTTATACTGTTTCCCTAAGTGAAGTTATTCATACATATGGCTTCAAATGGTATCTATTTACTGACAGCCTTTAACTATGTATCCACAAGCACCAATATTTAATATTTTAGCTTGATAGGAAAGTGAATTTTTAATATTTTAAATTGTTGTATTTGCAATTTTCCCACAATGGACATGTACTGCTTTCTTAAAGCTTAATTTTTTTTTTCAAAGGAGGTAATTAATTCATGAACTAATCTCCCCACAGATAGATAAATTAAGAAGACTGAGAACTGGCCACTGGATCTAGCAACATGGTAGTCGCTGGCATCCTTAACAAAATAGGGTGAAGGGGGAGAAAAATCTGCCTGGAATAATCTGGCAGTTCCTCAAAGTTAAGGTATGGCCCAGCAATTACACTCCTAGGTATATACCCAAGACACTTGAAAACATTATGTCCACACAAAAACATACCCAAACACTCAGAAAAACACAGCAATATAACATCCTAGTAGCCAAAGTACACACAGCCCAAATGTCCATAAACGAATGGATAAACAAAAGTATGGTATATTCATACAATGGAATATTAGCAATTTAAAAAATTAAGTATGAATACATGTGACAGCACAGACGAACCTTGAAAATATTAAACTAACTCAAAGAAATCAGTCACAAAGGAAAATATACTGAATGGTTCATTCCATGCACATGACTGTCTAAACTAGGCAAATTTAGAGAGACAGAAAGTGTACTGGTGGGTTGCCAAGGGATGGGGAAAGAAGGGTCTAGGGAGTGATTGCTAATGAGTATGAAGTTTTCTAGGTGATAATGAAAATTATCTAAAATTAGGTCACACTGAAGGTCACACAACTCCGTGAATAACAACTGTACACTTCAAAAGGGTGAAACTTACAATATGCAAATTACCTTAATAAAGTTGTTACCAAAAAAAAGGGGAGGGGGGGGCAGGAGAATCTAGTTGATACTCAGTTTGCATTTGTTTTATTCCCTCTCAGTATTTTCTGACTTTCTGTTTTCTATTTTGTTGCCAATATCTAGGTTTTATTTGACCTTACTTCCAGGAATCTATTATTTCTTAAAAATAACCTTTTCCTCCTTCCCCTTAATCCCTATCTCTACGCCACTCTCCAACTCTCCAAATCAAAGATAACCAGAGATAAAAATGTCTGGCTCTATTAAGAAAAGCTACACTTTACAATTTTAAAAAGTATTAAATGTGGCCACGTTCAGATTTACTTTTCATACAGTCTTAGTCATATATTTACATATTTCAAAAATGGGAAGCATTTGCCTAGAGATAACATACCACTTTAAGCAGACAATACATTATATAGCCTGAATTCTAAAACCCATTTTGTATCATAAGAAACTACTTTGTAAAAGTTACAAAACAAACATCCCTCACTCTTGAGAAATGTTTGAAGTTTTTAATAATGCTGCTATAATACATTTTCTTTCATAAAATTTAAGAAAAACTTACAACAATGGTGAGTAGAAGGTATTGTCATTTTATGGGTAAAGAGACATATAAAGATACAAGCTCACTGGTAAAGTTAAGCTTTGAGCTGACTTCCTATCTTGGATTATATAATTTTAAAAGTACACAATAATCAACTATTGCTGGAATAACATCTGAGCAATTTAGCTAAACATACAAACAATAACAAATATTCAAACTTCGGGAATTCTAGTTGAAGTAATAGAAAAATAGAAAATTTTTCCTTCCAAAAAAAGGTATCTATAGACAAAGATTCAGATATCCCATGAGTTATTCATAAAAGTCAAATGTAAGTTAACATTTTCTATATTTCTTACATAAAATTTTATAATCAGCTGATGAAAAGACAATTTTCAAATTCAAAAACACTTTCAGAATGCACCTATAACTAACTTAATGCAAAAGTATACGAAAAAACACAGCTATTTCACTGATGCCTTTAAGAACAGCCATTTTATTATTTTTGATGCATCTTCTTACGCATTTCTTCAAGAGCTGCTTCTTTCTCTCTCAGCACTTGCTTAAGTCTTCTTATCTTTTCATCTCTAATGGTTTCTTCTAACTCTGGTGGTGTCATTGGGAAAATATCTTCAGTATAATTTTTATTAAAGGAATGGATTTGTTCAAAAGCTGTACTTGAGCTCAATGTGCCTTTTTCTTGGTTTCCATGAGTACAATGCTCTACCTCAGTTCTCTTTTCTTCTCTGGTTTTGTTGCAGCTTGTGAGGATGTTATGGTTTGACACATCTGAAGTTGGTAAAATACTGCTAATGACCTGGGAACTGGTGACATTAGCTCCTCCATTTATAGTTGTGCTATTAACACTATTGGTTCTTCTCTTCTTTGGACGATCCATCTTCTTAGTGGTTTTTGCTTTTCTTTTCTTATCAATACCCTGCTGCAATTTTGAGTAAGATTTCAAAAGAAAAACAAAATATTATTGCTGAATATATACTGTGCTCTTGAATTTAAAAATGTTTCCAGTTACATATATTTAGCCATTAAATTCAACTCAACAGAACTACTGAGAACAACTACAGGAAGAAAGTAATGTTTGCCACTGTATGGTATCAAAGTGAATGGCAATGTCCCAATGATACTCACTGAGAATAAATTGCCTAATTCACATTTTCCTGCTTAGATCAACTATTAGAAGCTTTATTGATCTACTACAAAAGCATAACAATCATTTGTGAAGAGCCTAAGAAATAGATTTAACATATTTAACATTTTTTTTTCATCTGCACAGTAGGCACATATAAAAGATTATCACTGGGAAAGGTTGACTGGTTTCTGATCTGAAGTTCAGGATATTAAACAATAAGGAAACATTTATAAGTAGAATGACAGTAGGCAAAGCTACAGGGATTTTTTTTGTTCATCATTATTGTATAGATTTCTCTTAAGGCTTATATTAAAAGCCATACTGTAGTGAATATCTACATGCTTATTATTTTCCCTACCTTTCTGTCATTTATTTTCCTTTTTAAATTTTTTTGGCCACACTGTGCAGCTTGAGGGATATTAGTTCCCTGACTAGGGACTGGGTCCTTGACAGTGAGAATGTGGAGTCCTAACAACTGGACTGCCAGGGAATTCCTTAAACAACATTTTAATTAACTGGGGATATCTTTTTACCTTTATTTTCTTATATGTTTTGGTATAATACATATAGACGCAAATTTGGTAAGAAGTATCATTCATATTAATACACAAGACTAAAAAATAAAAATCAAGAAAATTAATACATTCATGTATCTTTGGAGTACCTACAAAGGACACTTTAAAATCTATTACCTGTTTTCTCCCTTCCTCCTTCACTATAAACTCTGCCTCTTTGTAAGTTTCATTCTTCACCAAAGGGCTAAAGGAATCAAAACCTTCTCCAGAGCCCAACTGCTGAGGAATCCGAGTAAGGCAGACTCTCAAATCTTTAGTGATACCATATATCTTTTTAAGTTCAGCATCACTCTTCAGATATGACGCCTTTTTGCTTCTTCGTTGAGAACTGTTCTTATCATTTCTTTCTTGAGTAACTTTTTCTAGTGTTGGTGCCATCTCATTCTGGATCTGGAAATAGGAAAAGAAAACACACAAACAATACTGCCAATTACTTAAGCTATTTTATCACACTAGCAACTAAGTAATTACCTCATCTTACTTAAAATGCCATGCTTTAAAGTCCTAATGGCTGGATTGCATTACTCTTACCTTACCACCCACACTTGAAAAGCTGAACTTTACTGGGAAAAACCAAAATACTCCCCAACAATTTTACTTTCTTGTACTAGGAAAGTAACAGGTAGTCAATTCTCAAACAAATGAAATGAGAATACAGACTAATAACAAGTTGAAAATAATCTATATGACATTATGTTGGAAACTGTCATTTTCTGAAAAACCCTTATACCTTTAATTAATCTTGTACTTAATCAGAATTTACTTAATTATATCCCTGGAGTTCAATGAATTCTGTACAAAAGGGGAAAATACTGACATTATTAAGTAGACCTCTAAGTACAAATATTTAGAGGTCACACATACACATATCTTAAGTAGAACAGAAGTAATTATGTGGATATGTTGGGTAACTAAATGAGGAGTCAGAAAGAAGGGCTAGAAAAAGGAAAGGGAAACTTGTATATTAAAAAAAACACAATCAAGATGTTGATAAATTTTTTCCACATATGAATGAAAGGTGTTAATTAGTCAAGTCCTACCCCTTCCACCATCTACCTAAAAAACTGCCAGATAGCTCCCTACCACAAAACAAACAAACAAATCCCAGCTCTCCTCTAGGTGTAACATTAATCTCTTCATATACTAAATGTAAGCTCTTAAATATATGTATGTACATGTACTTATGTGTACAAATATAAGCATGCATATATATTTACACACACAATTTTACGAAGCTGTGAATTCACATTATCCTTCTCCAACTCTTCTAAATCTTGTTGCTCTGTGATTTGTTTGTTTAATTTTGCTTTTAAGATTTGGCATGCCAAAGGATTCAAGAGAAAAATACTGTTTGGGCTCTATTACACTTCTCAAACATTTCCCTCAAATGAAAGCTTTGGCTTAAGCATTCATGTGTGTATGGTATGTATATGATGAAAAGGAGGGTGGGAGAGGAGGGAAAAAGAGGTATCATAAATAACTAACTTTAAGAATCAAGAAAGAAAAATTTTCTATATACATAAGATTAAAAAGAACACCCTGACATGGGAAAATTACCTTTGGTTCTTGGTCTCTGAAAACACACTGTTGTGAAGTAACAGTTGTTGCATCAACAGAGGAACTTATTTTCTCTATGCTCTGGATGATATTTCCTTTCCTGGGGGCATTTTGTCCTGTACTAAATCCATCTGGTAAGACTGGCTTTGAGAATAAAGTCTTACTCTGCTTTAAGTAGTTAATAGATTGGTTCATACTATGTGGGTTTGGGGCAGAAAGAGATGGTTTCTCCACTTTCTTATTCTTCTCTGCCCTTAAATTGGCCATGGAAGCAAGCTGAGTATTTGAAACTGATTTTGTCTCCATCTGGGAAGATTTACTTTTAGCCAAAACAATATTTACAACCTCTCTGGATATTTCTGTGACTGGACTTGAACTCACTATCTGTGATGCATCTTTTCTTGGTGGAATATCAGAAGAAACTGAATTCTGTTTGTCAATTAGTGATGGCAAAACATCTGTCCCCTTTTTAGCCAAGAGATAGACTTTCCCATTAAACATAACCAAAGCATTATCTTTAATAGGCATACTTTTGGATTGTGTCCCACTAGGACTGATGGTACTCAATGGTGGCATATTTACAGTATTATCTCCCAAATTTTTTCTATCTACAAAAGTTTTTAAAATCTTTGAAGCCACATTATTTGAAGATTTAACAGGAACAAGAGATGGAGTGCAAGGCTGTAGATTTTCTTGAAAAATCCATTTCACTGGAGCAGCTTGAGAATGCTGACCACCTTTTAACTGTGTCTCTTTAGCAACATTCATTGGAATCTGTGTGGTGTTTAGAATCATTGGCTTTGCTATTTCTGTAACAGGTTTTGGGTAAATGTTTTGAAAGTTCTTGGTAACTACATTTTTCACTGTATTTACAGGAGATACATAAATAACAGTAGGTATTTGGGAGGGCTCAACTGTTCCTGAGGTACTTGTGGTGGCAGTTGCAAGTATCTTTTGCTGAACTGAAGGAGGCAATGATGACGCTGGTACAGATTTCACTTCAGCATGGGCTGGAATCTGTAAATGATGCCCAGAAGGCAAAACCGGAGACTTCACAGTCATTGGGAGACTCTGGGTATTTACTAAAATGTAAGATGAATCATTTTGTGTTGAAGAGGGAGAAACAGCAAATGTTTGCATGGTGAGTCCATCAATTTTCACACCATGACTCTGAACTTTAGAAACTGATGAGGTAAAATTTTCAGTTCCCACAGAAGTAACTCTAACTTTTTCTGCTGTATCTACTGTTCTTGTAAGAAAACAGTTTGAAGAACTGGCTGGCTGAAAAATGGGCAATTGAACTGATGCACTTGTGGAAGAGCTGGAAATCTGAGTCTGAAAAGTAACTTGAACTGGACTTCCTGTATTCCCTTTCAAAGCATCAGACATGACTGAAGATTGAACTAGTGGCATAAGATTTCCAGAGGAATTAGGAATTGGAAGTAATTGCAGAAGATTTTTTCCATCCGAGCCAATCGTCTGAACTACTTGGTACATGCAGCCTGAAACACTTAAAAAAAGATTGAGTAAATAAATACAACATACTACATGGTATATACATTTTATTTAAAAACAAGTATTTGTAAATATTATTTTTAAAAAGTAAAAATTTATAAAATATAAGTATGTAATTTGACACTTTGAGTTTTCAAAGTGAAATACTGCAAAAGAAAGACTTTGAAGTAGAAGAGATAATCAAAGATATGGCAAGCTTTGATTTAGATCTTCTCATATGATTAGGCAATGCATATGAGATATTAGCATTTATTCCTAAAACTAAAAGTAGACTTTTCTAAGGTTTTATCTTGTATAAAATTTCACCTACTAGAATATGCTCCTCTTAAACCACGTATTCTCCCTTCTTCTTTTCCTTAAATTCTTTCCTCTAGTCCTTCTTCTTTACTATTACTGACCATGATTCTCATTTTACCCCCATTTATGTCATTCTATTTCTCTTGCTCTTTTCTTTCCCTAGCTAATCTGTTCTGTGTTATTCTCACTAACAATGACAAGTTCTATTGTCAGCTATTCTTTTGCTCAATGCATCTCTTAAGACACCACCTTCATGCGTCACGTGTCTGGAGACTAAACTGAGTTACTCATGTAGAAAACAGATTCTTATTTGATTTCAGTATGTTTGACATTTAGTACTAAATAGCTCTTGGTATGGCAATTAGTCATACTAGTTTCAACTGTCAATCCATATTTTAATAGCAACATCATTTCAGCTGAATGGCTTTCAATGAATATGGGATATGAACAGCATCATTCACAGTAAGCTATCAAATACACTGGAAGTCCGTATTTCTTTTTAACAGCCTATTTTGATCCTGATAGTTATTAGCTATTACTTAGCACAGGTTGTCTGATTTAAAAAAAAAATCAATACATAACATTATCAGATTGTATAATCAATTATCTGTAGATTAGTTAAATGCAGACACCTAAAGCTATATACCTAAAACCAACCTTCAGCTCTTGGAAAATACTAAACCCTTAGTATGGGAATCAGGGTCATCACACATGCTGATTAGTTCTTCATCCACCCATGTAACTTAAGTCTCAACATAAATGCTATTTCCCAGAAGATACATCCTTTGGCCACTTTTAACTACCCTTGCTCCTCCTTCATAATTAATAACATTATATTTGTCAATTTTCTTCATGGTATATATATCACAAGTTTTTACCATATCTTGATTTTTTTTTCACCAGTTTATGTACTGTCTCTCACGCTAAATTCTAGCAATATGGGTACAGAGTCCATGTCCTATACATTTAACATGGCCTTATATGACTAAGATCAGATGAATAAAAATTAAGAATGAAAAATAATGAAATAATAATTAGAATTCTCAGCAGTGTAAACGTATGTTTTACTGCCTAAAGGTGTTTTTTAAGCCACAGGTATTAATACAAATCAAAGTAAAAAATTCTATGCAGTACACAAGCTAAGAATGCTTTTAAAAAAATTTTTTTTTAAATCACAAATATTTTGTGATATATAAAAATTATGAATTTCACTCACTATCCATAAATAAAGTTTTATTAGTAGAGAGTCACCCCTACTTTTTATGTACTGTACATGGCTGCTCTCAAGCTGCAACAAGAGTTCAGTAGTTGCAGCAGAGATTATATGGCCTGCTGCTGCTGCTAAGAGTCATTTCAGTCATGGCCGACTCTGTGCGACCCCATAGACGGCAGCCCATAGACGGCAGCCCACCAGGCTCCTCCGTCCATGGGATTTTCCAGGCAAGAGTACTGGAGTGGGTTGCCATTGCCTTCTCTGATTATATGGCCTATATAGCCTAAATATTTACTATCTAGCCCTTTACAGAAAATGTTTGCTAGCTTCCAATGTAGTTCAACCCACAATCCCTAACAACTTAAACTGTTGGGTACATGAACATGTAAATAGGCAATTATCATTGAGATGATGATCTATTTGGATGAAAACAAACATGCTGACTCCTTTCTTAAAACATTTTCTTCCCAAGGCTTCCTAGATACCATATTCTTCTATCTTTGTAGTGGTTACTCAGTCTTTGCCAACTCCATCCTTGAATCAGCCTTAAAATGTTGGAATTCAACAAAGTTTAAAGTGAACTCTTCCTACTCAATAAGCTTTGCCCCAGATGATTTATTTTATATACATGACTTAAATTACCATCTATATATCAACAATTCAAATATTTATATCTTAGCTCTTTTGAGTCAGGCTTGTATGTCCAACTTCCCTCTTCACATTTCCATTCAGAATTTCAAATGCACCTAAAACTAAATACAGTCTTTTCCAGTGTTCTTCCTTCAATAAATGGTATCCCAACTATCTTAGATCCCCAAATCTAAACAAGTAATTCCAGCTTTCTAATAACCATATGTATCCAACCTATCTCAAAATCCTGTTGATACTATTTCCTAAATTTCTCTTGGTCTATTCAACTGTTTCCAAATCAACTGTTCCCACTCCAGTCTATCTCTGGCTTGGTCTGTTATGGTAGCTTAACAACCGATCTTTTCTTCAGTCTATCATCTTCTCTTCAAATTACTTAGCACTCTTAAAACTGGCTGGCCCTTCCCTACTTAAAATGTTTCATCAGCTTCCCAGTTTCTCTGAGTGGTAAAAAATAAACCAAGAGATTCTGATGCAATTGAAGACAAAGGAAGAGAGAGTTTCAAGAAAGCTGGGTAATTCCACTGAAAGTTTCTGAGAGACCAAAGAGAAGGCAGATTAAAAATGTATACAGGAATTAATGGCATGAGTATCACTGATGACATTAAAGGGCAGTTTTGTGTGGAAAGAAGTTGGTAGGAGTGAATATGAAGAAAGAATATGAAAACAGCAAGGATAAATAACACTTTTATGAACTTTGGATGCAAAGGGAAAGGGGAAAACTGGCAAGTAGCTGGAAACTAAATGGGGTCAAAGAGGAGTTTGATGGTGGTTTTTTTTTTTAAATGTTAGGTGAACTAGAGCAGCAGTCCCCTATCTTTTTGGCACCAGGGACTGGTTTCATGAAGACAATTTTTCCATGAATTGGAGTGGGGGGATGGTTTCAGGATGATTCAATTACATTTATCATGCACTTTATTTCTATTATTATTACATTAGTTATTACATCAGCTCCACCTCAGATCATCAGGCATTAGATCCAGAAATTGAGGATCCCTGAACTTGAGCATAAGTATTCATGTGAATCACCAAAAGGAAGAGACTGGAAATAAAGGAGCAAGAGGGGTAATTAATAATGTAAAGTTTGAAAAGGAAGTAGGAAATTGAGACCACAGGTCAGGTCAAGAGACCTGGAGAAGTGTCTCTCTTCATTGGAAGAGAGGTTAGGTACATTTGGAGGTAAGTTTAAAGCTTTGGCATTATAAGGTTGAGGTAATTCTGATCTAGTGACTTTTATTTGCACTGTGAAATAAGGACATAACACCATTTGCTAAGAAGAGCAAAAATAGGGAGAAACTTCAAGAAATCAAAAAGATGCAAAAACAGTCTTTCAGCAAGAATAAGCTGACTTCAGAAAATATCAGAGTCACCTGACAGTGTTAATGGCCCAGGGAGGTAGGTAACGATCATTAATTTATAGTGATACCAACTGTGCTGGTGAGTCTCCTTGTTTTACCAGGTATAGCCAAAAAGAAAGTGTTATCAATAAGTTCATCCAAGGCTGCAGTGACTTCAGAAGGGTGTAACAAAAATCAAAGAGGAGCAAATGATTTTAGGGTATTGAAAACTTTTTTCAAATAATGAAATGCAGAATCTATACTAGATGGGATGAAAATGGGGCTTCCCTGGTGGCTCAGACAGTAAAGAATCTGCCTACAAAGCAAGGGAGCTGGGTTTGATCCCTTGGTTGAGAAGACCTAGAGAAGGCAATGGATACCCACTCCAGTATTCTTGCCTGGAGAATTCCACAGACAGAGGAGCCTGGCAGGCTACAATCTATGAGGTTGCAAACAGTCAGATATCACTGAGCGACTAACATTTTCACTTTTTCACTTTCATAGGGAGAAAATAAAGGGAATGGACTGAAGGGCCAGATAAAAAAAGTCAGCGTGGGAGTACTTATAACAACTAAGCTAAAATACAGGAACTGGTGTTTGGAAAGCATGATGCCTAAAACCAAGAATTTTGTAAATGCAACAATTTCATCTGATAACAACAACTACAGAAGTGGATTGATGGTGACAGAATGGAGAAAACATTGAAGAAAAAAGATCTTTGTATTGAAAGACCAGGTGACAAAAGAGATTACCCACATAGATGCTGAAGTCATTTGGATTAGAGAGATAATTAGGAGGTGGGTGCTCAAATTCAGTGACAGGAAGTTAGTACATGGTGTTAATGAACCACAATTAAGACCATCTACCAACTTTCTGTTGCTGATATGCTAGAAAGGTGACTTGAAGCTCACTGTCTTCAATCTATTTTTCCCCCATATTCTACTACACCTTATTTCCAAAGATTACCAAGTATGTCCTCACAGTTAAATCTGGCTTACTCTGTCTTCATTTCCTAGGTGCTCTCTGCTGAAGCTAACATTGGTAGCTAATTATCTCCCTATCTTGAACCTCTTCCAAACACGGTTTCCATTGTGTGCAGTATTTCTTTTGTCTTTCTTACTGTTCCACTTCTTATTAATTTTCTGCATTTTAAGCATCCAACTATGACTACTCCTGATAGTACAGTTCTTGACTATTTTTCTTTCAAGACATTCCTTTGTAAATCAACCATACTTCAATTTTAAAAGACTATTTTTAAAGGCATTCTTTCATAAAGACTGCATCAAGGTAACAATTCAAAGCTTCATCTATTAGCTTCAATTATCTCCTTTGCAATAATGACTATTTATTATTTATCTCTATTTATTCATTCTGATTCCTTAATATTTATCTCAATTCCATATTTGTAATGTTTGACCATGTATTTTCACTTTTAAAACCATTACTGGAGTTAAAATTACTCTGTATTGAAAACTAATACTCTTTCTTACCATCCAGTCA